CGAGACCTGAGGTATTTGTATTTCCTGTTTAATATGCAGGAAAGGCGTTACGGCGGAGGGATAGTTCGATGGGTCACCGAGGCTGCCGCGTATCGTTTGCAGTGCCAGCTGCCGTTGTCTCATCATTTGTAGCTTCCGCGCTCGGTCTCTCTTGTACATAGGTCCAAATTTATTCCTACCGCCTCTCATCCGATCCGCTCGTACGGCTATAACAAAAGTAAACGTACAAAAACGTATTGAAACAACATGCTCGTCCCTCATCTCGAGTCGCAAGTTTATCTGAAAGACGAATCTTTGAATTATTCGAATTTTTTAGCTAACTAACCAAATAGAATGAGGCTCGTTCACTTTCCATTCTTATTCATTATTCATATTTCTTTAACTCTTAATTTTTATTTACTTTCTTTTTTCTTTTTTCATCGCTTCAATAATTGATTTTTAATTTGAATATTTCAATTAATGTTATTATATATTTAGAAAGATGCTTAATTATCCGAGAATGATAATTGTAAAACATGATATAATTTAGTGATAAAACGAAGTCACCGCCAGAGTTCAAATTTCAAAGGTAATGCCATTCAAGCAAAATGGAAATGAGATCTAATCTTAGCCAAATGGGACAAAGCGTGAACGACTTGTAACTGTCATTGCATTACGTCTTTCAAACAAGTCTACTTACTGTTTCATGCAAATGAGTCTTTACTTGCAAAACATGGATCTCCACCTACGAAACCCGCAGGTGTTATTTGGCATATTGAACGTGCATCATTATTAAAAGCGAATGTTACGACTTGTCAATATAAATTATTTTTTGGTCTTAATTATTTTTAACAGATAATTTGTTAATATTTTTCTTTCAGATATTACTTTATCGGTCGTATATCGATTTAATAAAATGATTTCAAAATTATAATATATTAATACGCGATCAAAATTTTGAAACATTTTAATACAAAGTTGATTCTTTCAATATAGATTGATGCAATATAGATTAGATATTTATAATTGAAACTAGGTATATATATTTATTAATGTATCTTCGAGTTAAGATCGAGTTAAAATTACATATTGTAAACGATAGATTTCTAGATATGTGATTCCAGGACTCGGAAATTGTCTAACAGAGCAATTCTTGATATAGATCTCCTTTGCCAGGCGAAGAATTAAAATGTGCATAATTGAGAGGCATAGCATAATCGATCAATCGATCATCGGTTTGAATCGATAAACGAATTTAATGAAATGGCGAATAGATGAGATAAAGAAAAAAAGAAAGAAGAAAAAATGAAAACGAAAAAATAATATTAAAATAATTAAAAGAAATAAAATATCATTTTAAAGTTGATATAGATAAAATTCAATTCTTTCTCTTTGAACTTTTATAGAGCAAATTAAAAAAAAAATTAAGAATTTGAAAAAGGAAATATAAAAGATAAAAAAGATAAAAATAAAGAGAAAAAATGGAAAACAATGAGAATAATACTAAAGAAGTAAAATCTCGCGCCATAAAAGGAGAGCCCGCGCTCGTTCATCCATGTGTATCGCAATGGAGAGTTGTAGTCGTGTCGCGGTGTGGCAACGTTTCTTCGAGAAGAGGTCGTGTGCCCGATGACGAATATCCATGATCCTCAGGGTCACGGGTGCAATCGAGGAAAGATTTCGAACGAAGTTTTAACGATTTATAGGGCGGATACACGGATAAATCGGCAGCGTTGCCTATTTTCGTACGAAATGTTTGCTATCCCATCGTCGCATGAAACACCGGCGTTCACGACAAGCGAGCGAGCAAGCAACAAGCGCGGTGCGCGCTCGTTGAAAGTGAAAGGAGGTTGAATCGCTTGCCCGTCCACTTCTGCTTCTGAGCCAGCCTGCCTAGGGAGGAGGGCTACCCCTCTGCTCCCTTTCGACACACATACACATGGACGCGACTTATGTCGAATACCGTCGTCCGACATCCCGCCACCTCCTAACTTATACTTATTCCCTTCCCTCCAACCTGCCTCTCTGCTCCTGCCTCCTCCTAACACTACGCCATCCGTCGATCCACATTACCGCCTCCGCTACTCTGTGTACGCTTACGCCTCTTCTCTTTTTCTTTTCTTTCTTTTTTTTTCGTTTTTCTTCTTCGTACTCATCGATTCTTTTTTCCAACAATTTTTCGCTACTCCATACTGCGTTTCTTTTTTTCTCTTTTCGCACTCTTATGTCTTTCTTTCTCGATTTCCTGTCTTTTCTCAATATATATTCGCGTTCCTGATCTTTCCTCCATGCTTGTCGCTTTTGTGAATGCATAATGCGACTATCTAATGCACCATCTACGATCACAATGCAATGATATCGTACGATAAACATTTTGTTTCATATTTTTTATGATTTATTCATTTTTTCGTTTTATGCGTTTATTCCGTTTTGAGCAATTATTCTCGATAACTGTTCATCGAAAAAAATAGCAAATATCTATGAGCTGAAATTCAGTTATGTACGCTTCGTAAATTTCATATCGAATCGTCGTTTTCCGAACTTTTATGTTATTAATTTTAACGAATATTATCTGTATTATGTAAAGCGATCGTCATCAAAAATTATGCGATATGTTCGCGCTTGTGCGCATGACTCTTCATTTTTTTTTATCCGGTGACACTTTCTTTTCTTTCTTTTTGCAATTTACATAATGATCGATTCGACGAGAATTCAAACAATAGCCGAGAGAGTAATCGAAAGTTGCTAAACTTGACTTTCAGGTTATTGCTTTCGGCCACTTGTTCTCGATTGCTCGCTTAATGCTACGCAATGTCGCCATCGGGTATCTTGTAGATTTATTTGACATGTGTTAAGCTACTTCGACATATCTTTTTTTGATCCTTCACATTAGTTTCACCTTATTCCTTTAATTATCTTTTCTTTTTCTATTTATTTTTACTTTATATGGAAAATCATTTGTACATTTTAGATCGAATTATGATCTTATACGATCGTATTTCTTTGCATTCTTTTCCATGACTTGTATCACAGATCTAAGAAGAAACGTTCAAAGATAGACATTAGATCAGGGCAAAACTTGATTTTCCGTTCAGCGAGATTTTTTTTCCTTATTGACATCTTACTATTTGTAATCATTTCTATCGTGATTATTCTTTTCATGAGTATTCTTTTCATGAGTATTCTTTTCATAATATTATTAAGCATAATAAATGTTTTGCGTTATCACGCGTATATTTTTTCATTTAATTCATCTTTTTAAGATACATCGAGAGTTTGTATATAAATATGTTGTAATATATAAATATCTTTAATGAAATGATATCTGTATCTCAATTAATAATTGACGATGGATTCAGCTTAAAAAAAATCTCTTTTTTTAATTTCTTATGATTAATCATATTACAATGTGGCATCATGAAATTTCATAGACATTATATAGCGAATATTAATTTCTATATTAAAATAACAAACCTTTAATATATTTTCAATTGGAAATGTATCGTTCTCTAAACGATTTGAATAATATATTATGAATTTTTCGTATTTTTGTTAAATCGAAGCGTGAACCTATATAAAAATCGGAGTATATATAATCGAATGGGTGGCAATATCTCCTATTCGGGATATAATACATTAGCGTATCGATATATATATAGCCATCATACAGATATCGCAAAAAATGATCAAAGTAAAGAATGCCTCTGTCGTTAAGTATCAACAAGTAACAATCGAAAATTCAAAAGTACAGGAAAATTCTATCATTATGGAATTAAGCTTCGAGTCGATTTTCAATTTTATTATTGAAGACTAGATTTTCATAGGATCAGAATTTTATTGAACAAGAATTATAACGGGACAATGATGAAATTTTTTCAAAATTTGAGGTTTTTCGTAATTTTATCTCTTTTCTATTAAAATTTCACGAAAAGATTATCGCGATTTGTAACACGAATAAATAATTGATTCGATTTATGAGAGAAAATTTCTATAAAACTCTTCTCTTTCCGATTGCGCAGATATTTGGCAAGATGAGCATCACACTCTTACCAAATTGGCATATAAATGTGTTAAATACATCCAACAATTTTCCATCGAATAGTTAGAGAAACTGTTCCAATAATTCCAATAGTTAAAGAAACTGTACGCGCCACATAATTCTCGTGAATTTATAAATTATGCAATCATCGAAGAACGCATCGTCTATCAGAAAAGTTTCATTTTTGTGCAATTAATCATCTGATCTTTTCTTCTGATTGAAGTGGAAAAAACAAAACATTTTTAAACAGAGCTTAAAAACTCTTTATTTTTGAAAATTCTTCAAAAATAATAAAAACTTTCATTTTTGAAATAAATAAAGAATTAAGAAGAATCAAATCGTTTTACACGTTCAATTCTAATTTTTACACCAATTCTATCGATTCTAATCGAATTGTTAAAATTGACAATAAAAAAGCATATCGAAAAATTCACTAAATGTCTTTTTTAATGCAATTATAAATAATGAATAAGGAAACTTGGAAGATAAAATTATCGATTTTCTATTTTATATATCTATTCTAATATTATATTATATTGTTATATTATAATTAATATACGAAATAAATATCATATTCTCAATTATTTTTTTTGGTAAATTTTTACATATTTAAATGAATTAATAATAAGTAATTTGTATCTATTATAGTAAGATTTTATTATATTACTTATTGTAGTAAGGTTTATAGGAAAGTAAACTATTTCATTATCAAATTTGTTTATAAATTTTTCAATCATAATTTAATCACATTCTGTTAGATATCTTGCATTAATCTCAAGCGTTGTTAATATTACGATTAGGTTAAAATCTAAATATAATCTAAATGTAGGAAAAATTTTCTTTATCGATTATTTTAAAAAATATTTATTATGAATCAATAATTTTTAAATATATATCTAAAAAATAATGATAATAGAATCATTTGAAATTTCAATGCTTCATGATAATTATTCAAAATTAAAAATTCTTCGTAATTCTTCATAATCAATAATTTTAATCAAAATCATCATATAATTATGATATAATATAATTGAAATAATTTGAAACAGTTATACTTTTTCAAAGCTCTGCTTTTAGAGAAACGAATTGATAAAGAAAAGAAAAATATTAAACTTGATAATAACATGACATAGTAACTTTTTTTTTTTTTTGTTAAATCATTAACTACTTATCGACGTATTTTACATGTGTCAAATATCATGACATGTCTATTGATAACTAAAAGAATCGAAATTCGAGTCATGAAGAATACATAAAAAATGCACAACAAATTTGGATTTTATTTTGAATATTCAAAATGGAAAATCGTACTTCGTATAAAAATAAAACAAAACAGAAAGGTTTTGGTTTTATTAGATCATCAATCATTTTAAATAAACTAAAATGTATTTGTTGTCAACAAGATAAATATAATTACATGTTTTTCCGCTTACTAATATGATATCAGTAGGTGACATGTATCTATGATAAAAAGCTTCAACTATGCTTAGCGGGTTGACCTTTTCTCTTGCTCAAACAATTGCGAGCAATTATAGTAGTATAGTACAAGTGGCACTACTAGTTTATAACGAAGATCTGTAATAAAAATACATACTCATATTTGAAAGTGATATTTTCATTGGTTGTTTCATATCTTCTGCTATGTTACAAAGTAATCATACTAAACGTACAATTGAGATTTATGTATAATAAGACGCGTACAAATTATTAAAAGAATGTAATCTATATCCGGTTTGTAAAATTATGATGATAACAGTACACGTATTATATTATACCAAAAAGAAAAGAAAATTCACCAAGTAGATTTGGTCCACGGGTCTAATGACGTCAAACCCCCCTTCCTTCCCCATAGAAATTAATATGCGATCACGTGATCACCGTCGTCCAATCGCACAAGACAAGTTTCCCCCGTGACGCAGCAGACGAGACCATTAGGGAAGTCATTCGCGCATTGCAAAATAATGCAAAATAAAAAAGTAAAAAAATTAAAAAATGAATAAAATCGTTAGCTAAAAAATTTTTATATAATACTAAAGCTTTAGTTGAATAAAGAATATGATCTTAATCGGAAAAAGAAAAAATAAGGAAATAATAAATCGAAATGATTATCTATGATATATATATATATGCGTTCTATTTTATCAAGTGATGATATTAATTCATTTTCACATTAAACTTTAAAAATATTTTGTACCATGATAATTACAATAATATTTAATAATTGTTTCATAGATTTTGAAAAATTAGCTTTTAATATTAGATTATCCATAATATTTAATTGAATTAATCTTCTCTGTAGAAATAGATTAATATTCATAATTGCTTCTATTATCAATAATTGTTCTGTTTTATAACTTAAGCTTTTTAAGAATTCAAATATCATTAATATTGCGGCAATGCTGACATAGATCATACGCTGTAATCGATAAATATATGTATATATATATATATATGTAAGAAGTACAAAATAATGAATTCGGGCGTGTGTTGGAGAAAGAAAAAAGAAAAATAAGACGAGAAAGAAATAGAAGGTTCGGGGAAAAGATGAAGCTCCACTCAACCAAAGATTACACAATCCCCGCCTCAACCTAACCTTTCTTCCCCACCTCTATTATGCGCGCGCGTGAACAACGAAGGTAGGAGTCGAATACGCGAGTAAGGCAGGTAAAGCAAACAAGCAAGGCAGACAGGCAGGCAAGCAGGCAAGCAGGCAGGCAGGCAGGCAAGCAGGCAGCCGACCAGGTATACCTTCTTGCAACATAATATAATAATTATGAAATTCGTGAGTTTCTAAACAGAGGCGCATGCCACGATTTCCGTTGTCCCGCTTGATTTTCCAAACCCTCCATACAATGTATATTTTCTTTCACCAGATCTTTAAAATGTTAGGAGAGACCGTACCATTCCATCAATACTTTTCGCAATATTTTTGGTAGATTTTTGACTTTACTATCAACAATGACTGCTCTCACTTTTACAGCAGGGCACAATTTGTTCAAGAATTGACAGGACCTACTCGAAAGTTTAAAATACCCTATTGGGCCATTAAACACGAACCTGATCCACGTGGCGGACAGATGCAAAAGATACGGCGGCGCCGGTTTTTGAATAGTCGTAAAAGGAATATTCTCGTTACTTTCAATGCTATCTACGCCTTCAATATATAAAATTCTCGATATATTACTATAATTGTTTTTATCATAGAATATTTCTACATTTTTTTTTCATTTTTCATTTTTTCCGATTAATAAATTGCTTTTTCTTATGTTCCAAATACACAACCATCATTTATTCTTTATATGGATAAAAAGTGATTAATCTCTTATATAATAATATATAAAATAAGTTTTATAGATGGAAATATATTTATTCTATCGGAAAATTGTTTTTTTAAGAAATCACATATGTACAAAAAGATGATAATAGAGATGAATTCAAAATATTATAAATTTTATTTTATAAATTAAATTTATCGAGAAAATAAAGTTTCGTCAAAATAGGAAAGCATCGCTCCAACTCATGCAAATAATCATCACCTATCTCAATTGCAAAATTATAAAAGAATTATGAGTGAATCTTATAGGATTAATCGTGCGATTTTAGAGAATACTAAAATGGTAACAAGCCGAATCTTTCTTCCGAACAATCGAATAGTTAAGAAATTTACGTTACGTAAATTAACTGGAAATTTGATATTAAATTCGACAATAATGAATTGGTTTCAAGAGGCAATTGAATCAGCATTTTTTTTTTTTTTTT